ACACACACACACACACACACACACACACACACACACACACACACGCACGCACACGCACACACATACGCGCACACGATACAGGATGACAGTAAATCTGAGGAAAATTTGAGGTTGTTATCTAATCTCATCATTTGATGACCAGACAGCAGCCTGAGATTAACAAAAGTTCGAGGTTTCTCTCAAGGTCATATAAGCAGTTTAGCTCACTCACCCAGTTAGTCAGAAGGGCTGGGATGTGTGCGTGTGAGTGAGTGTGTGCGTGTGTGAGTGTGTGTGTGTGTGTGTGTGTGTGGTCTCAGCATGAATTAACTTGCAGTTTTCCCTTTGGCTGGACAGTGTCACATTTTACCCAAAGCACAGTGTCTTCCTCACCTGAGGCATCTGTGGATCATTGATGTCCCACGTGAGTTTCATCCCGTAGGAAAGCACAGAGTCTGCATCCTGTGTGGGGTCTCCTGGCATCGGCAGTGGCCTCCAGTACTCTCTAACCAGGATCCTGAAAGAGAAATAAAAACAAGGAGTACACAGGGTGACTCCTTCCCAAAAATGAAAAGTAGGCTGAGGGCGGTGAGTGAAAAGGAGGAGGAAAGGGGGAAGGAAGGAGGAGAAAGATAGGAGGGGGGCAGAGAAAGACAAGACACACAGAGAGAGACAGAGACAGGGAGAGACAGAGACACAGAAAGACAGAGAGAGACAGAGCCGGAGACAGAAAGGGGGCAGGGGTGTCCAGGTGGTGCCCTGTCCTTGCCTGTAGTGCTGAAAGAGATCCCTCTGAATGCTAGCACCTTTCAGCAGGGTTACACTGGAGCTACCCTGCTGTTCTGCCTCTACTCTCCAGCACCTGAAGGTCTATTCACAGGCTTCTCCACCTAGTCAGGGAAGAGTTAGTGAACCGTTGAGCTAAGGGAAACTGAAGCTAAGAAGTTGGCTGTGGGGAGCAAGTAGGGTGCAGTTTCATTTATGCTGGAAACCAAAACCGACTGTCAAACTCTCTGCTGGTTCTGGAGAGGGCTTGGATTGGGGCTCTGGAAGCAAAGGTTTCCAGCAAAGTGTCGTCCCGTCCCGTCCCGTCCGCTCCCCCGCCCCCTCCCCCGCCCCCAGCAGGTTCTAGGGCTCGGGGGGAAAGGCGAGAGAGCCAGCAACCAGCACCTGCAGCCTAGGGGCCAGCCTCCTTGGAGCTCTGGGTTCCTGCAGTAGTTGCTGTTCCCAAGTCTGTGTGCTCCGTGGTTCGGTCAGAGAGTAAGTTTAGTATTCCAGTAAGTTCTCAAGCCCAGGCACACTTGAGGTTGGGACAGTCGTGACCACCGGGAAAAGTTGTGGGAAGTGACCTGGAGGTTGGTGTCAGATGACACTGGGATAGACAGGGAGGGAGGGAGGAGAGTAAACTCTGCAGCTGGAGCTCCGAGTCCCTTTCCTTTCTCTCTCCCTCAGCATCCATAGTTAAAGAGAGGCCAGGGGTTTGTGAGCTCTCAGCTGCCACCCATAGGAACACCCATGTTAAACAGACTGTATTGCCATTGTCGCTGCTATCCCTAGATCACTTTTATCCTCAGCGGTTTAGGAAGAGGACCAGAGAATGTTGTCTAGGATGCTGAAAGCTCCCCCAACCTGAGGCGACGTCTCTCAATATAAGAGCACTCAATATAAGAAAGCCACAAGTATCTCTCCGGCCACTGCAGTGCGGGATTCCGGACCATGAGCAAAGGTGGGCTTCCAGAATCTCCTCCCGTGCTTGCTTGGCAGCTGGCACCCTCCCATTTGGTCTTAGCCAAAACAAATGGATACATAAGTAAGTAAATAAGCGAATAAATAAATAAAAACAAGAGAGCAGATCCCACAATGCAGGTCACTGTCTGCGGAGGTGTTCCCAGCTCAGGGCCGTTCTGGGGTGCTCACTGGCATCTAAGCCAGCAAGGCGGCACAGGTCCCACTTTGCTTGGGCAGTGCCAGGCAAGTGCCTCCTGTGGGAGTAATCCCCACTTCTGTGCAAAGCCCAAAAGAGCCGGGCTTTCTGTGCCGCAACCTCCTGAAACAGCATCTTGCACACTCCAGGGCCTCTACCTCCCTCCCAGTGAAGAGCTTGCAAGGGAGAGTCAGCTCAAGAGAAAGCTAGGCTTCCCAGCAGCCTAAGCGGGGTAGGGTGCCCGCTGGGAGCATTTCCTGAGCTTTCTTCTTCCAGAATGAAGCTGGATTCCTATTTTAAATACGAAAAGTCCTGGGCAGATGGCTGTTAATCTTCAGACCATTTCATCAAAGTTCTTTTCTAAAAAATCGCTCTCACAGGGACTTTACTGAAGTGTAGTTGGGGGACAACGACTGTCTCCACTTTCCAGTGCGCCCTCATGTTACTGACTGTGAAGGTCCAGGCTACTGCCATTCAGTTGCTTTCTTGGTCGCTTGTCTTTCAAAAATTAAGTTTAAACTATTGACTTTTAAAATAAATTTAAACCGCTTGCTTAAAATTAAACCTGATAGCTTAAGACTATGTTTTGAACATATTTAAAATAACTTCAAAAACAGCCATTTAACATGACCTCTGAAAACGGATAAAGATCAACTTCTGACCATATGCATGCAAACATCGTTAGAGTGTTCCTATCTCTATCCTTTTGAAAGATTTCTAGAGCCGCGGATCCTTCAAAACCACAAATGATGGGCCCACGAGTCGGCTTAATGGGTAGAAGCACTCGCCAAACAAGCCTAAAAGTCTGAGTTGGACCCCACGGATCCCACAGACCACGGAGGGGACAGACTCCTGGAGACTGGTGCTCCGCCCTCCACCACACAAACAGAAAATGTAATTTACGCGTTAAAGGCTGATTAGCTTGCTTGGGAGGAGTAAGGAAACAACCTGCTCCTCCATGCTCAGCCCAGGGTGATGGTGCAATCCTGTAACCTCAGTAGTGGAGACAAAGATGCACAAGGAACAAAGGTTTGAGTCCCTAACAGGCTGCATGAGACCCGGGCTAAGAAAACAAAACCAAACAGCAAGAAGGTATTTAGTTTGTGAAGAGTTAAAACACATGCTTCAGACATGTGAAGCAAGCTTGTTCCTAATTTGAACTAATAAAAAAAATAAAAAAAGAAAACCCCCCCCAAATCTTCAGGGCTTCAGGTTGCCCTATAATTGTGTGGGAGTAAAATATGTTAGTAAAAGAAGATAATCAAAGTGAAAATATAAATAAATTATGATGTATTGAAGTCTGCCTTGTTGCTTTTAATAACTTCTGAAGATTGGGATGCATTGCCAATGCAGGAGGGTTTGGAAATATATGATTTGTCCCAAATTCTGAAAATGATGTTTTTTGCATGATATTTAAAAATAATTTTTATTTTCTCATGCAAAATACATTTAAGCTGGATTTTGATCACCGCTTTGTAGAGGTTATATTTTCCTTCCTACTTCAGTATTTGCATTGACTTAAAATACTCTACATTCATGTCTGTCACATTCTGGATCTCTATTTAATATGTAAGAATCTGTTAATTCGAGGAAGGAGCAAGCCTCTGGATTTGCAAGATTAAAATAGGTAAATTAACTACAGTGTATTGATATCACATTTTCTAGGAGCTGATGCGACCAGTGCTGGTTAGACAAACTGCCATGCTTGCAAGTTTGGGCTTACTAGCAGGGCTTGTAGTTACAATCGTGCGTTATTTGTTCCTGAAGGCAAATGTCTTCTGTAAGCATCACAGCATAAAATTGTGTCTCCTTGTAATACAAGTCAGGGTTTACACAAGGAATGTTTGGAATGGGGGGCACCTATCTGTGTGTTGGGGAGAGGGGGAGTACACACATGCCACAAGTTACTAAAGGAGTCAGTCCTCTCCCTCTACCATTTGGAACCTGGGGATCAAGGTCAAATCCCCAGGCTCTGTGGCTGGCTGAGTCATCTCTCCAGCACCGTTTCCTTACAAAGAAAAACCATAATACTATTTGTTTTGTCATGGGGTTTACATATTTGGTATCCCAACAAAAAAAGCAGCCTGTTTCTAGAACACACACACACACACACACACACACACACACACACACACACACGAAATGGTTGGAGAACAGGCTAGTTAAAAAAAAATTGTCTCTCAGGTGGTTCAAGTCTGTAATCAGCACCATGGAAGATGGAGGTGAGAGGTCAGCCTGGACTACAGAGTGATTCTCAAAAAATAAATACGATCCTTCTTCCTTTGACGAAGGTAACATATAACACTTTATTTTATGGTATCAGGGTTGTATTAGTAATTTCAGGTACAAGTCCGGTTCAGAAGGACCACAACACTTTTTGAACATGAATCCCTCTTCCCAGGGACCTTTTGTTTGGTCAAGGTGAAGCAGGGAGCCTGGCCTGGTGGCTCACACTGTAATCCCAGCTTTCTAAGATGTTCTTAGAGAGTTCCTGGTGAGTCTAGAGTGCAGAATGAGACCCTGAAACCAAATCAATCCCAAACCCCCATAGTATCTCAGGTTAGCTAGCAACTTGGTCAGTTTCCAGAGAGCACTCTCCGCCACAACGGTGCGAGTTCGGAACCGCTCGCTCCTGCCTGTGTGCTCTTTCCCTGCAGGTATGCGCCCAGGCGGGCAGCCTGATCCTGTTGTTCTAGTTACTCACGCGCTTTCTAGAATTACAAACACCGGAGTCTAGTATAGAGTTCGGTAGCAGGTTCATCTAATTGGAGTTCCCGGAGAAGACTGAACTTCAAGAATCACCCAGATCTCAAGCGGGATCTCGGACTTCCTAGGAGTGAGCGGTGCTGCAGAGCTGGGCAGCGAAGGCACTGGAGACACTGTCGCTAGAAGCTTCGAGATGCCAGCAGTGAGTGACATGGGGAGGGGTGAGGAGCCCAGCCTCCCTTCTAGGGTCCCCGGGCGGAAGGAGCACTGTCCTCTCTTCGCAGAACCGCAGCACCGTTTGGGCGTCCAGACAAGTTCTTGGCGGCGGGCGAGGTGGGGGGGGATACTGGGGTACCTTGGGGCGCATCAACCTCTTGGGTGTGCTTGGCACTGACTGGCAGCGTTCAGGAAGATGGGGAAACAACAGGACTCATGATCCTCGGCTCAAAAAGCCACTGGGAAGGGTAAATAGGGGACTGAACTCCACAGCTCTTTTGAGAGAACTATTGTGCGATTTTCGCTTCTGCAGACCTCTCTCTTTCCCGGTCCTCGAAACCCAGTCACTAGTAAGAAAAGGACACTCCTGGCGACAGATAGGGTCTTCATTCCCCTGGAGCGCCCTCTTTTCAGCTCTTCGTTACCCATCATTGGCTAGCCCGCTAGTGAAAAACTTAAGTCTAGATGAACATGGGTTTTTGATTTCTACTATCTATACATAATGATGGTAACAATACAGCAAAAATACAGTCCGCATTTGAATTGAGTCCCTAGAAGTAGGACTGTGAACCTAAAGTAGATGTTCTCTTGTCTTGTGTGAGACAGGGTCTCATTTGCCCCGGCTGCTGCAGAGTCTCCCCAGGTAGCTGAGGATAATTTTGAACTCTTGATTGACCTCCCAAGTGCTGGCTATACCACCGTAGTATGACTTAAAAGAGCCATTTAGCAGAGATTTATCTTGAGTACCTTGTACTTTTCCATGAAATTGTCAGGGGTAAACTGGTGGCTGTATGTAAAAGCCAAACCTTCGACCAGACAATGGCCCTTGATGAAAATGTCCCAACTCACTTCAAGTTTGGAAATCTCTTTTGTGTGCTGTGGCCATTTGAACATTGAAATTTCACTATAAAAGCCCGGATGTTAAATGTTAAAGTTTATGTCACAAATACAAGGACTTTTTGAATCTAATTCCTTATTATAACTTGTAATACAAATTTGAATGTGAATTTTAATTTAAACATGAATTTTATTAACGCAAAGCCCTTGTCTAAATCATGGTGCTCTCTGTAAAGTTTGTTTATCTTGGATGGACATTTATTCAGATTTTTTTTTTTTTACTCTTGAGATGGTATTCTTTTTCACAGAGAAAATGTACAAGGAAATTAAAAAAAAAAAAAACCTATCCTATTTAAACCTATGATTAGTGATTTGTGTAAACAACAAGACCTGTCAAAAAAAGCAGCATAAAATTTCCTTTTTATTTTTAGGACTTGAAACGTGTTTTTGACTTTATTTATTTATTTTTTAAAGAACATCTTTTTATTGCACACAGAAAAACAAAAACCCTCTGCAGTCTGTTAAGGAGGACACTGGAACTGGCAGGACCCGAGGTGCTTTCTGGGTAATGAAGTTTATTTTCTGTTCCATATGTGTTATTGTTGGGAGTTTGGGGTGGGTCCTCCTCACTGCTGTTGTTAAGCCTGGAGCAGAGAAATCTTATCTTTCTGTATGGTGGTACCAAGTGATAACCATCCTGTGACATTTCACTCCAACTATCCCCCCAGAGCCTACTGTAAATTATACTGCACCCAGCATTTATTCCAAGTAACAGTAGCCAGTTCAGAATAAAATAAATTCAGTGCCTATCCTCAGGGAACTTAGGACCTGCCCAGAGCCAAACAACAGGTGTCAAACCCAACAGAACAGGGTTGTAGTACAAGGAAGTACTTGGTCTTCTGCGTTTAAGGTGGTCCCAGAGGTCCTGCCTTTAAGTTGATGCTTGACCGACTTCTGGGTCAGCTTCATGGAAGGTGAAAGACCCCCGAAGAGGTACTTTTGTAGAGGGAGACCCACACCCAGGAATCAGCGAGGCCACGAACTGGATGCAAAAAAACAAGAGGCTTTATTGGAGACGCGGGTACCCGGGGCGACTTAGCCTCTGTGTGGCTAAGCGCCTCGAGCCAAGGGAAAGGGGTCCTTATATAGGGAAAAAGGCGCAAGCTAGGAGCAGGGATTCTATTGGATAATTCTAATGAGGCATT